GGGGAGTAGTCGCTAAGTTAGACTGAATTACTTTAACTTAAGAAATAAAAGAATGTCTCCTACAGTAACAAATCATGCACAGATCAATGTTATAAACTAACAAAAAACAAAGGCCTCCTACCACAACTTGGTTTTTATTATATATAAATGTTAAATGAGGTGAGAATTTATGCCTATAACTTCTGAAACTGTAATTCTAAAATGTTGTTTTAGGGAAAATATCAGCAGAACTTAATCTATGAAAATTAATAGCTGGCCTGTTTAGAGCTAAAAAAAAAAAAAAAATCTATCTTCTATCTAAACCGTAACTCCATTTTTGCCAAACACAATACAATCGAATTAACTTTTTCTATGTCTCAATATCAGCGTTCCGCCACTTTGTCAAAATTTTTAAATGAAAATTTAAGTAACTGTGGCAGCATCATTTAGTAAAGTAGTATTTTTGTTCCCTCTGGTCAGTTAAAAGTCATTTTTAAAAAAACAGGAGCTACTGTTCCTTTCCTGCCCAGCCACCCATGAATGAGTCTTAGGAATAGGGAGCTTCTAAGGAAGGGGGCTGTCGGAGCTGGGAGTGTGGGAGGAAGAAGGGACAGGGCTGAAGGAACTGCCTATAGGGGCAGAGAAGGAAACAGAGACCAGAGGGCTACAGCGACCTAGTGACCCCCAGACCACCCCCTCCAGCATCCCTCCCTTCCCCCAGGCAGCGGAACCTTCAAGGGGGACTAGCAGGGCCCTGCGTCCCAGGCAGGCTCAACCCTAAGCACAGCGGGCTCTCAGGCTCACCAGAGACCCCTCCCTCTCACACACATCCCAGCCCAGCTTCACACAAAACTGCCCACCCTCCTGGGGCCTGGAGGGCTGGGACAAGGAGTGCAGCAGTGACTGCTGTAGGTGAAGACAAGAGGACCCTCTTCAAACACTCTGCTCTAAGTCTGAACCCCACCATGACCTTAGGAGTAGGGCATGGGTGAGACTGGATCACCACCACTGGGTTCAACTGAGGCTCAAAGCTGAGTACATTTGAATTAGAGGGAAAAGAAAATATCAGATCTGAAAAAGTAGAACAACATTAATCCCAGCCTCAACCACATCCTCCCTCTGTGTGTGACAGCAACCGTAACACCTCATCATTGGCATTTGCTAAGTGGTCCTTCCGGACCCAGGACAGTCACACTGTCCAAGAGAGGGTCACCTCTGGATCCCAGAACACAGCAGGGTTTTGTGGAAGCCAGGCTTGACAAGTCACGCTAAACGTAATTCCAAATCAAAGCGAAATGTGGACACAGCAAAGTCTTAGTTTCTAAACACAGCATCGTTTAATCCTTTTTAGATTAAAAATGATGAAAATACACTGCTGTTGAAAATATATATAATAAATTAGCATGAATGCTTAAAGCTATCACTACAAGGAGATTCACTTTAGTTATATTTATAGTCTTCAAAATTTCAAGCAGCTTAGGGCGCCTGGGTGGTTCAGTTGGTTAAGCGACTGCCTTCGGCTCAGGTCATGATCCTGGAGTCCCGGGATCAAGTCCCGCATCGGGCTTCCTGCTCAGCAGTGAGTCTGCTTCTCCCCCGGACCCTCCCCCCTCTCATGCTCTCTCTCTATCTCATTCTCTCTCTCAAATAAATAAATAAAATCTTTAAAAAAAAAAAAAAATTTCAAGCAGCTTAAACATCCAAGAACTAAAGACTGGTTGAATAAGTTATGTCACGTCTATACATCTGTGTGGCAGAAAATTACATAGATCTTAAAATAGTGCTAAGAACTGGGGCGCCTGGGTGGCTCAGTCGGTTAAGCGTCTGCCTTCAGCTCAGGTCGTGATCCCAGGGTCCTGGGATAGAGCCCCGCATCGGGCTCCCTGCTCAGCGGGGAGTCTGCTTCTCCCTCTCCCTCTGCCTGCCGCTCCCCCTGCTTGTGCTCTCTCTCTGTCAAATAAATAAATAAAATGTTTAAAAAAATAATGCTAAGAACATTTCAAAACTTATTAGAACATATTTATGATATATTATTAAATAAGAAAAGTGGATTGTAAAAGAATACTATATTGCTTTTGCAGAAAAGATATACAAACAACCAGAAGGCTATATAATAAAGTGTTAAGTACTAGGAGAATGGAATTGAAGATGAAAGATTCTTTTGTTTTGGGAGGAACGGTTCTAAGTTTCCTAACTTTTCTTAAAACAAGCGTGTATGTATGTATATATGTATTTTTATGTAAACTCTACACCCAACATAGGTTGGACCCTGAGATCAAGAGTTGCACACTCTACCAACTGAGCCAGCCAGGCTTTTATGATAATAAATGCATAATGTGCTGCACTTTTTTTTTTTTTTTTAAAGTAAGCTCCATGTCCAGTGTGGAGCCCAAGTTGGGGCCTGAACTCACTACCCTGAGATCAAGACCCCAGCCAAAATCAAGAGTCAGAGGCTCAACAGATTGAGCCACCCAGGTACCCCATAATGTGCTGCATTTTAAAAAGGTCTCCCAGACGCTGAGAGGCTGTCTTTGAAAAACCTGGGTGGTACATTAGCCACACCCTCATCCCCTACCAAAGAGAGAGTGTGTTTTACTACAACACAAGATGAGTGGAGAGTGGGGGTGGGGGGGGGCAGATATGAGGTTCAATACCATCCCCTGGGGTGTTCTCTGCATAAGGTAAGAGAAAAACAAAAACATGGGGTACCTAGATGGCACAGTGGGTTAAATGCCAACTTCTTGATTTCAGCTCAGGTCGTGATCTCAGGGTCATGAGATGGAGCCATGGGTCAGGCTCTGTACTCAGCATGGAATCTGCTTGGGATTCTCTCTCCCTCTCCCTCTCTTCCTCCTGCTTGTGCTCTCTCTCCCTCTCTCAAATAAATAAATGAATAAATCTATCTTAATCAAAAATTCCTGTCCATAAATTAGTCAGCTTCTAGAATTTGGGTGTCCAAGGAGAGCCACACACCCACACATATGGAAAGTATTACAGAGGCAGGTATCTTTATAAAAGCACATTTGAAGAAAAGGAGCTGAGTAGGTTTGTATAAAAACCATGTGTGAATCCCACATCTCGAATAGGATGAAATGTTGATTTGAAGGAAGGAATGCTTTTGATATATTCAGTTGGTCTCGATAATTTCATGAGGCATGGCAATTCAGAAACAGCATAGGATTTGAAAGTTCATTTATTAATTACACCACACTGTATTTGATCCAAATGGGGTTTAAGACTGCTCATATACAAAGATAAATACAAAAAATTAAGATAAAGATATTAAATATTAAGGCTAGAATTTTTATCATAAGCCACCTATTATATAATCTCGGACAAATTACCTTTTAAAATCTTAGTTTCCTCAGCAGCCGAACAGGGATAATGATAATACTTATGTGACAAAGTAGCCCATTGCAAATCATGTCTTATTTTTGCCACTGCAGAACCAACAGAAAGAATTTAATTTCCTCCCAGCTCAGTGAGAGGGAGGGAGTTACAGTCAGATCTAATTTGACTTCAAAACAGTAAGGCAGGTGACATTCTCACAGCCGGGAGCAGTAGAGCAAAATACTTTCCTCCTAGGCTTGGCATAAGGATTCAGTGAAACAATGGACGTCATAATGCTATGTCAATTGTCATGCAATGTTCAGATAGAAATTGTTATTAAAAATTCCACTCATTTCCCACAATACGATAAAAACAAAACCAGGAGACCTAGGTTCTTATCCCAGTCCCCCCTCTGTCTAGCTGCTGGAATCATGTCTTCCTCATCTGTAAAATGGGAACATACTCTTTGCTTTGCCCTATCTCACAGGTTATTGTGGGCTCAAGTGAGACAGCATATGAGAAAAGTTCAGGGGCACCTGGGTGACACAGTCAGTTAAATGTCTCTTGGTTTCAGCTCAGGTCATGATCTCAGGGTAGTGAGATCGAGCCCCACATCAGGGTCCATGCTCAGCGTGGAGTCTGCTTGGTCCCTCTTCCTCTACTCCACACCCCCTCCTGCTCTCTTGCTCTCTCTCATAAATAAAATCTTTAAAAAAGTCCACGGAACGTGTTAGATAAGGGTGATCTATAAGTAAGCCATAAATCAAACTCAGTAATGTATAATGTCACTTTATAGTACAATTCTGTGAGTTCTGAACATGGAACATGGATTAAAACTGATTAGCTGGCTTTATTACAGAAGTAGTATTCATTTAAAACAAAAAATCTGAGCAACCCAGATGTCTATCAATAGTAGAATGGATAAAGAAATGACCATAACATGGAATACTCACAGCAAGAAAAATGAATACACTTTAGTATACACTACATATAGCATTGACAGAGAGAAGCAAAACACAAACAATACACATCATGATTCATTCATATAATGTTGCAAATAGGCAAAATAAACTTGTTTGTTCAGGGAAGGCTGCACAGTATTAAAATTATAACAAAAATTAAGGAAATAATTACCACAAAGTCAGATGGGGATTTTCTCTGGTTGGGGAGGGAGGAGATAGTGAAGATATCATCAGGCCAATAGGAAGGACTTAGGCGCTGTCGGCTATGTTAAATTTTCTGTGTGTACGTGCGAGTGTATATATATATATTCATGTATGTATGTACACTGTAGTCACTTTTCTACACATATATTTCACAATAAAAGACCAACAATAACAAAAATTCAACTAAATTCTGTACAGATTAAGTTATGTCAATAGTGTTCCTTTGTTTTGTTTTGTTTTAAGAACTTTTGCTAAGAGTTTCAGTTCTAATCTCAGATACATCACACTAAGAGATTACTCAGTTGGGATTTTATTCAAAAAGAAAATATAATCATTAAGCAGGTTATGGTGATTCAAGCTGACTACTGGTCTACTAACTAGTAATTTCTAATTGCTTGGACATTTTCAGGGCCAAATTAAACATTCTACTGTTACCAGTAAAAGAAAACTACATGGCTATCATCACCTGGGCATATCTCACACCACCACCCTAAAAGGAAATGCAAAGTTACATCAGTGACTTACCAGCTGGCTGTGTTTGTGCTATTCTCTTTGGGTAAGTCTTGCTTCGACTTCTTGCCACATTCTGATCTGGCCGAGGAAGTTGAATAGAAAGATCTCGACTCATTTGCAATGCTGTCCTGCCACTTGGAAGTGCAACATTTTGGTTAGCACAGATAAAACCACACAGTCGCAAAATTAAACCACGGCTCACTCAGAATATCTACAATGCATGGAGAGGGAAAAAAAGCACAGACTCACGCAGGCCATGAGTATATAAGGGTTTTCAATGGGTTCTCATTGCAATATTAACCAAGGGCTAATAGGAGAGTCTTAGGTTAGATAGAAGGATGATCTATCAGAGAAACAGGGAGAAATGTATTAAAGGAGTTAGGTTTAGATTTAAGTAGAATGATGAGCTAGAAATAGAGGATGCTGGTGGTCTTCCAGCTCTACAACTAAATAAAAATTACATTAGGCTAAAGTAAACAATAGCAATGAATCTACATGAATCAACATGTCTCTGGGTTGTACTTACACAGCAAGTTGTAAAGCATACCTCCCCCACAGGACCACTTGGTATGATTTTACCCTGAACCCTGCTGTGGCACAATCCACTGTTTATTATGCTCGCCTCACCTGTACCACATCAAGTGCCCAGGAAGATTTAGAGCTAGCCTAAAAGCCCATGCAAAGTGCTGCTTCTTAAAGAGTCTGAGAATGCAAGAAGGTGTGCTCTCCTTGGGAATGGACTAACTTTCAAGTAATCTTCCTGAGCAATTGTGCAATTCTGTTTGCTGGATTTCAGTGAACATTCATCTTACTGAAAAATTATTCCACAGCTGCTGAATTTGAGCGAATGAATGACCCTGACTTCCACAGGAAAATATCATTCAGGTACAGGAAAAATGCATTTCTGTATGTTTGGTTTGATTCATCACAAAAAGAGCCATGTATGGGAGGAAAAAGGACTTTTAATGGCTCAAATCTTATTCCTCCTACATTTACAGGATAAATATTAGTAAATCTCTCCCCAAAAGAGATGAGACTCATAAAGCAAAATTCACCTCCTACGTGCTTCTGTGAAAGTTTCCCATAGTGACTACCCCAATTGCCTTTATTAGAAATAAAAAGATGCTTGAAATACTCATAAAAGTGACTCCTCATCAGGCTAACTGGGGATACCAGTCGGTATGAGCTACCATGGGAATTTAGATGGCAGGTTCTATCCATGAGCATGCTTCGTGTTCAACAGTTCACAGGAACCAGGCAGAAGGGAGGGGAGAAAACCTGTGACAGATTTTCTTTCACTTGAAATCTTTTTTTTTTTTTTAAGGTAGCATATAAGGTAACACAAGTAGCAACATCTCTCTCCTGAAAAGCTAAAAAAAAAAAAAAAAATCCCATATTAAGAGCAAAATTCCATTATTATAAATGGTTTGAGGTATAAAGATAAGAGCTACTTAAAACAGACTTTCTCTGTTATCAGAAAGATTTGGGTACTGTGTATCTCATTGCAGAGAGGAAGAAATATTTGCCCTAAAAATATAACCCAATATGTGGGCCACAGTGGCATTTTATAATGAGATTTTACTTTATCATTCAATTTTTCCCCATGGTTTCTCTCTCAGGAATAGTGGAGAAATACGAAAATCATATTACAAGATTAATAAAACTATGGTCCAGAAACATAAACTGATCTGTACCAGCATGTACAGGGCTCCTGACCAGAGCAAGCCTTCTGACCTCCAGATGGTTGTGGCCCAGCCTGGTGGCACGGGAGAGAGGGCAGAACACGGAGCCGTCGGGTTTGAAGTGACAAGCCCCGCAAACAAAGCTCTGCTACCATTGTGTGGTCTTCAGCAGATTATTTTTAAAATCTCCCGGAGCCTCATTTTCTTCATTGAAAATATATTTCTACTTATGCAGTCTCTTTCCAAGCAGAAATATTCTTGTACAGTATTCTTACTATTTCCTTGTAGCAGAAAGTATGTGATGAAAATAGAGATTTACAGTGTAAAGTGTGAGAGTTCCTATACATGTCTGGTGGCTCTCCGTAGTGACAGGAAAGAGCTTTTTTCCCCCCATAATCACCCACTTCCCTGCCACCTCACACTCTGGCGCATGCACTCTGCTAGGGAGAGCACAACTGGCAATCAGCGGGGTAAGGGGGAGGGAACAAGTGTAACAAGTGTAAAGACACCTGGGTTCAAATCCCAGCCTTGCCACTTATTGGTTCAAGGTCTTTAGTCTTTAGTTCAGTTACTTTATTTGGGGCGGGTGCGGGGGGGTGCTCAAATTTCTCATCTGTATAAATGAGGATACGACACCTCCCTTGGCAGGTCATTACACAGATTAAATAAAGTAACACATTTAAAGCACCTGACACAAAAGAGTTCCTCGTGACAGCGTGGTCTCTCCCACACTTCAAGAAATGTGGGAAGCCCATGTGATTTCAGTCCTATAAGAAGGTCACCTGGGTCCCCAGGGGGATTTCTCAGGCCTAATTCTCACTTCTGGATGATAAAGTCTATACAAGTCATTCATTCTAACCAGGAGTCACCTACATACTTAACAGGTGAAGGCAAAGTTAGTTTTTGAGGAGCTCAAAGAAGGAGCGCTCAGTGTATAACAAAATATTTCATCAGTACCTATTTCAAATTATTGCTATCTGATAATAAAACAACAAGAAAAGAATTAGATTTTGGATTTCAACTCAGTTTACCCACAAATTTTGAATTTTTGAAAGGACTGGCAGTCACAGATCACTAGAAATATCGAATTTTTTCCTTCATAAGAATTCATTTTTCTAAAAGGTGTTGGAATCTTCTTGGTATTCTGCAAGCCCCAAGATGCAGGAAAGAGTGTAAAGGCTAGAACTCTGTCTTCCTCCATTACACACACACCACTAAAAATACATCCACAATTATACACACAGAACACGCAGACACCCACATTCACACACCGCGGCCACTTGTCATGCTGTTCTTTATCCCTGATGCTCTGAAGGCCTGCCGGGTAGAGGAGGGGGTTGCCCGTGTTTCCAGTGCTCTGCTTTTATTCTACGGCTTCTCCAGAATGTTTTAAGAAAGGAGTAAGCATATGATGTTTGTTAAAGGCTGGTTGCTTTTCCTCTTTCGACAATTAACAGTCCATGGGCTGGCAACCACCCAGCAGTCAGAGACCCACCTCTGTGTGAGCCTAGCTCTGGGCAGTGGGCTGAAATATCTTTCTTCCAGCGATGGTGTAACGTTAATGCTTCCTACATACAGACATGGAGATTTGGGTTTCATTAAGACTTACTAGGGAGTTAATACCATCCACAAAATTAGAACAGATTTAGCAGAGCTTCCAATTCTGCAAAGGTTACCTTTAATTACTTTCTCGGAAGAAATGATATTTAATATGCAAAATCCAATAAGTTTCTAATAATAATTCCCAGTAGCCACAACATTTGCATTTCAATAAATTTGAGAAATCAGGTATGAGTAAATTTGTGGAAACCGACTACAGCATATGTTAAGCAGCATAATTACAACTTTAATAGCATGAACACTGACAGATGCCTTTTCACTAGCTTCATTTTAGTGACAAGGAGATAGATTTACACATTCTCTTGATAACCCTAAAAATGTTTTATGCCCCAACTGGAAAAACAGCCCAAATACTGACTATCAGTTCTTCTCAATATAAGAATTTCCAGCTTCCTAGCTGGGTTACCTTGAAGAGTGACTTGGCCTCTCTGAACCTTAGTTTCCTCACATATTAAGGAGGATAATGTTAAGAAGACTGCAATGATTCAAAGAAGCAGTGATTGGAAAACATTTAGCACAATACATGGCACTTAGTTACTGCTCAGTAAAGTTTAGATATAATTACAGCATTGCTACATGTAGGTTTTATGCAGTAGGGAACATGATTTGATCCACAGTATAAAGTACACATTGTGTTACAACAGGGGATCAACTGAATGTCCTAAGAACACCATTCAACTACAATTCAGGATATCTACTTTGTTTCATAATCACAACATAATTAAAAATAAAGTGATAATTGTATTGAAACGAATGTGTGAAGGTAATAAGCTTTACTACATTCTAAAAGCCCTAAGCTTAAACCTGAAAGGCTGTTTTTTGTTTTCTAGAAATAGGGGAGACAGAGAAAGAGAGAGGAGAGTGGGGAAGGAGCAGTAGGAGAGGGAGAAGAAGAATCCCAAGCAGGCTCCACACCCAGTGTGGAGCCCAAAGAGGGGCTCGATCTCAAGGCCCTGAGATCATGACCTGAGCCAAAATCAAGAGTTAGGACACTTAAGCGACTGCACCACCCAGGCGCCCCCGTCAAGAAAGTTTTAATAAACTGTTACACTTTTGAAATTCATGGGCACTGTAGAAAAATTAAAAAAAGATTTAAGTCATAAACTTTAATGTGCATGTATGTGGACAACTGACCTCGATATGTATTTATTCATACACACACACACCCTTCCCCAAGGAAAAAATGCCATTTACCTATACCGGTGCTTATAACTCATGGATCCAAACTTGCTGAGTTTTCTTGACAATGAATTTGATTCATTTTCTGGCATTCTAATAAATTTTTAAAAGAAAATTAGATAAGGATTCATAAATACTTACACAACACTTGAGCAAAAGCTACGAAGAAAATACAGTGCAACACTGTTTCACAGCTAGTCGAAATATTTTATTTATTCTACATGTTGGCAGGAGATAATTATCAGTTATTTTAAGCTAAAATTTGAAATACAACCGCTCTCTAGGATTTTACATACATCAAATACTTTCTCTACTTAAGAATTTTGTCACAAAAGAAAAAAAAAAAAGGATTTTGTCACCATGTTGATTTACCCATGCCATGGTTTTCATGGCAGATCTGATGTGGTGTTTCACTGTTCTTTACATTTCGGGACTTCCCATTCCAGGGTACCTTCAACAGACACCTTCCATGTGGAGCTCCTTGGCTCAGGCCCCACTGGCCTAGTGGCGATGTCTCAGACCCACTGGGCCCCATCCCTCACCTAGTATAAACTCTAGAAGGACACTGGTCACTGTGTAAGAGTACTTCTCGAACATCATGCTATTTGGGAGAAGTGCTCCGTGCACATCAAATAGGAATTAGGGGAAGAATTAATCTAGCTTTAAATTTAAAAGCAAAAAATAAAGCTTAATATGTTACCTGATAGGATGTGGTTTTATCTTTACACCATAAGGATGTGAAACAAGAAGTGTTGCCACAATCCAAGGGTCTATTCTTTATCCTCATTTCACTTGACCTCCGAGGAGCATGCAATGCAGCTGCCAGCTTCTTATTCACCAGGACATTTTCCTCCCTAGTTCCCATTTTTTCCATACACTTTACTGGCTACTGGCTACTCCTTCTTATACTCCTTCATTGGTTCTTACCACCCTCTAAATGCTGGGAAGATCCCACAGCTCAGTCCTTGGCTATCTGCTTCTCTTTCCTCACTTTTGCCACAGATGACTTCATCCAGTCCTCTGTGCCTTAATTACCCAGTAAATTTACATGGCCAGCCTTGGTCTTTCCAAGAGGCCTTGTACACCCGACCGCCTACTCCACATCTCTACTTAGATGGCTAACAGGCATTTCAAATTTAGTATGTCCTCAGAACATTTAATTTCCACCAACACCAAAGCTTCACTCTTTACATATACAAAAGTCCTTGACCCTTTCTTGTAGTAGGAAAGAAGAAGGTATCTGTGTGTGTGTGTGTGTGTTAATATGATCCAGAAAATTAGGTGGCTGAAAAAAATTAACAGAAGAGAAACACTTCTAAATTTCTACTGTAGACAGAAAAGAATTACTGTTATAAAAACAAATCAATTTTCATTAGAACAATGCATAAAACTTTCACATTAACATACCTAAAAAATGTATGATGTTCTACACTGCACTTCCAAAGATGCTTGCAAGCAGTCTTACTTCGAGCTTCAAAAAAGAATGAGGTTTCATTGCACTAAGAGAAAAAAGAGAGAGAACATGAATTACTGACCATAATGTTCTTCAGATGACAGCCACCTTCTAGTTACCAAAACTTCCAGTAAGCAGAGAAATTATTAACACATAAAACAAAAACCAATTATCTCCTGGTAACGATTTTTGGAATGTTGCCTTAAAACCACCTTCAATAATTAAAATTACAAAATGTAAGTTCCACGTAAATCTTAGTGACATCACCTTTATCACCTGCTTCTGTGTCACCCCATGACCACGGATAATCAGGGGCATGGCATGGAAGGACTGTAAACATTTCTATCATAAATGAGCACCCAAACAGGACAACACCAACTGTGTGGAAATCAACTCCCAATAAAAAGGAGATGCCCATAAATCCAGTTCTTAACTGGATTATTTTTAAGGACTATACAGGCCCTATTTAAACTGATGACTAAAGAATCTCAAGAGGGGCCCATGCGAGGAGCAACCACCACAGCAGTGTCATCCAAGCATGTCCAAATCATGTCTCTGAGCTTCTGCATTCTGCACCCAGTTACTGGGTGAAATAAATGATGGGACAAAATAAATAAATAAATAAATGAATGAATGAATGAATGACAAATGTAAAGTACACAATAGGTATACATTAAATTTCAACTATTATTTTAATCCTGTGGATACTTACCTACATTTACTAGATAAGAAGTCATTCTACTTGTGCAGAAGATACTTTTTTTTTTTTTTTTTAAGTGACTGAAGAGGAAACCAAGCAAAATACAACAGAAGTACTCAGATAGTAAACTACAAGTTCGGTGAAGTTCTGTTATTGCTTTTTATCGAAGACAAAATTAGCAAACTCAAGTCTTAAATGCAGAAATGCCCCTGGAATGAGGTTTCTATGGATGTATAAACACAAAACTGGCAATGCAGAGGAGTAATTGAAAGGATCCTCCCCACCTTTTAATAAAGACAGAACATTTATATGCATGAAATTTCTTCCAAGTCCATCTGGAATGAGGCTGCCCAGTTTAGAAGTTTATTTATAAGATGAAAGGGTATGATGACAACAGAGCCAATATTATGCATGTTACGGCAAGGCCAACTGTAATTCCAAAACCTTGTGAAGTGGAGGAAGGAACTTAAGACAATTCCCAGGTTTCTGTCGTGGGGAATGCTACCTAATAAAATACAGCAAGTGGAAAAAATTGGGGATTTGGATGGTGAGGGAATGGATAGCAAGCTCAGGCGATTTTGATTTTGAGGTGCCCATGGAATGGGGAACTAAATACCCAAGCGGGCCAGGAAACCTGCAGGCACTGAGCTGAAGAGACAGGCCATCCCTGCTGACAGAGATGATTTCACCTAAGAGCATAAGACAGATTGTTCAGGGAGACAGAATGAAGTGGGGGAAGATAAAATCACAGCCAGGATGCTTGTGAAGATGGAGTGAGAAGGGTCAAAATAGACCAGGAGGCAATGATGTCCCAGAGGCTGGGAGGAGAGCACAAGTTTCAAGGGACCCGGAAAGGTCAAATGGGGTTTGAAAGGAGGTGACTGCATTTCACGGTAAGAAATCTTCAGTGCCTTGCATGACAGGGGGAGGAATTACAAAATTAGAGATAAGGGAGAACAGTCAATGAATTCAGAAAGGGTTTTCCTCAAAAGCAAAAGAAACGGGGGGAGGGGGTACCCAGGAAATGACAGAAGATCCTTGGGTGCAGGGTGGGGAACCAAACATCCTGCCAAGAAAGAAAAATGCTTAGAGGGGACGGTTTTTTCCTTTTCCTTTTCTTTCTTTAATATAAAATATACATACATGGTACAGATGCCAAAAGTTACCAAAATGGACACACATGGATAACTAAAATCTCCCTCCCACCACTGTTCCTAATCCCCTTCCCCATAGGCAACCACTATTAAGAGTTTTTTTTTCTTTATATGTGTGTGTGTGTGTGTGTGTTTGTGTATGTATGTATGTATGTACATGTTTTTCAGGTCACTGGATTACCCAAAAATATGATGCACAGGTCGTTTATTTTAAAATGATTTTGCTTGTGATTACATTGTATCAGGATACATGATCAAGATAAAGCGAGTACAGGACAGGCTGTCCCCTCCCCCCTGCCACCACCTACCTCAGTATCTACACCCCACCTTCTGTGCCTTTCAACAACTAGAGCACCACGTGGGCCAGGACCTACTGGACATTATCACCAACAAGTAACGGTGGCTGGGAAAGACTACTCTGTGACACTGATACTTGTACTAAAATTTTAGCAAATAAGGTGGGATTTGCATACCCAAAAACAAATTTTCAGAAAGTTATTTAATGGCATATAATCTAGATTTCTAAAAATGGAGGAGAAACAAAAAACATTCAATCTTAAAAATAAAGTAAATCCCCTCAAACTTTTCTTGAGCTGGTTTTCATTTTATTCTTCACATAAGCGTCTATATTCTTTTTCTTTTTAAATAGAGACCCAGCCACAGGATATCCAGTATATTCTTTTTTAACTACCATCACTTCATGACAGGAGAAAAGGTATTTAAGAGTCCAACCAGAATTGGGTTTTCTCAAGTTTCCTTGGGTACAAATATATTAAAGGAACAAAAGAGGTTCCCACAGGCCTCCTAATTACTTCTTCCATGTGCAAATGACAAGTATGAACGCATTCTCCATTAAATCAGAGCTGTAACACCAGCTGCCTGGTTTTTATCCCACTGTTAGCAGGATAATCCAAATACTCAAAGGAGGGTTAACATAAGTAAAAAAGAAACCAAGAACTCTGAATAAATTCCATGCATTTTTGCCACTGACAGTAACCACTGGCATGAATAGGACTGATGCGGCACCACAAAGGTCTCTCCTACTAAACCTTTTCCAAACAGACATGGACAATTAGCACCTTTCCATTCATTCATACAAAGGTGAGTAGATAACTTCAGAGGTTCATTCCAACCCACTGCTAAAATACTTTATCCAAGCACCAACGGTTTGCTTTTGGCAAAAGCACTCAATTTTTGTCATTTCATGCCAGAAAAAAAGCTATATTCTGAATCTCTCTCTCTCTCTCTTTTTTTTTTAAAGTAGGCTCTACACACAGCATGGAGTGCAGTGGAGGGCTTGAACTCACAACCCTGAGATCAAGACCTAAGCTGAGATCAAGAGTCAGACACTTAACTGACTAAGCCATCCAGGTGCCCCCTGAATCCTTTTTTTAATACAGGGTTTTATAATATTTTTATTTTATAAACTGAGCAAGTTTAAATCACCTGTAACTTGAATACCATGTAGGGGTTTCACTGCACCTTGGAGTCCTAGGTAAACTTGGCTCAAACTCCCAGTCCTATCATTTTTGAGAATTCAGGACCCGTATCATATCGATGAATTCCCCACCCAACTCCCTTGGATCTCTTGGTTTCTTTTCCTGTCTTTGCTGGCTGTTTCTCTTTGCAACCTTCAAGAAATAAATCTACTTCAGCCCGGCTTCTCTGAAGTGTATTGAGATTACTGGAAAGGTCCTGGAGGGGCTCACATCCACTATGAGCTACACAGTGCACTCACCCTGGGCCCAGCTGATTCTCACTGCCTCTCCCAAGCCTGACCCTTGTTGCCACAGCCAGTCCATGCTCTACTGGTTCTTCCATTGCTGTCTTGGGAAGCAGCCACAACTGGACAGTCTGCCTTCCCCAGGCTCCCTAGAATTATGGGGTGAACATCTTCTCAATCCTATTATATGTTTGTCCCACCTCCAAGATCAGAGAAGCAACCTCAGGTACACTGCACAGGTAAATATTTTTAAAAGATTAGAACTTCTAACAAGAGTAAGATGCAGTCATTTCATAAATACTGGAAAGTCCCCTAGCAGAGAGATTTCTGATCATCAGTGATCCACAGAAGCAGAGGAGAGGATAAAAGTAAGTATGAAGATTACAAGTCTAAAGTATGGGGCACCTGGGTGGCTCAGATGCTTAAGCATCTGCCTTCAGCTCAGGTCATGATCTCCAGGTCCTGGGATTGAGTCTCAAGTTGGGCTCCCAGCTCAATGGGGAGTCTGCTTCTACCCCTCCCTCCTGCTCGTACTCTGTCTCTCTCTCTCTCCAGTGAATAAATAAAATCTTTAAAAGAAAAAAAGTCTAAAGTATGGTGGTTTGTTTGTTTTTTAATGTGCATTCTCAACAAGATTTATATCCACCTGGCAATTGTTAACTGACTTTAGGCACTAGGGGGAGAAACAAAATCTTCAGAGGGCTGATAGCACATGACTGCAATAACCTCATTACTGATCAAGCAAAGGCCGGCAAGGGGTGGAACTGAAAACACCCACATACCAAAGAGATATCCCAAAACGGTGTTTTGAAAAATGCTATCATTATAAATGGTGAGACCAAATGACTAGGGTTTTAAAAGCTGAGCTATGAAAGCGGGCACAATGTCTGTTTTAGTGACTGTCCCCGTGTTTGCCCCTGCTCTCTCTTCTGGCCTCCCAAGTTCAATAAAGAATTCACCGTGAGCCCTGCCACAAAGCAAACTAACAATCTTCTTATTTAGGAAGGGCATTCTTTCAAGCTTTTTCTTTTCTTTTTATATTTATTTAAGTAATCTCTACACCCAAAATGGGGCTCAAACTCACAACCCCGAAACCAAGAGTCGCATGGTCCTCCAACTGAGCCAGCTAGGCGCCCCAAGCTTTTTCTTTACATAAGGCTCCCTAAAGAGTCTTTCTTACAACATTAGAGTCCTCTAATATTGGCATCAGAGAGTGTGGTGGTCAAACAACTGGGCAGCACCAGATTAAACACTCAGATCTGCTCATGTGCGGATGTGCTCTGGCAGTCTCCAAGAGCTGGTAAAGTACTTGCTCTTTCCCCGATTTATATGAGCAGAGCACTTCCTTTCAAGAAAGGGACTTTTCAGTACTCTGGATTAGAAAATTTTACATGACACATACATACCCCTACACACACACACACACACACACACACACACACATCCCAGTTACTTTTTAAAAATTCCTT